CCGAAGCTGGAACCGATGATTATGCGCCAGTGACTGTAAAAAATTATGTTTTGTGTCACTATAAAGACAATATTAATGGCAGAATTTTGCATAGAATGCCACTTCCATGGGGCACTGTTTTCTCCAGGTCCCTTGGGTCAAGGTGGTATTTCTACTGCTTTGAGTTGTTTGTGTATATGCTGCCACATCGATTTGAAGATCGGCGCATATTTTGTTGTTTTGTTAATAGATGTGAATAAATGGCCATGACAAGCACGCCAAACATTAATTATTAGTTATGTCTTAATTAGGTAAGGTCAGTAAGGTCTTTAGGATAATTATCAAATTTCTTATAAATTCTATTTATTTGTCATTCAATGGTAAAGTCAATAATGATTTGTAAGGGGCGCCTTGGTGTCTAAAAATAACAGTCCGTGACAATGTATGTATATAATGATATATTTATTAGAAAAATTGTGAGGGCGTTGCCAAATTTTGACACACTCAAAGCTTTTTAAATATGGAAAATCACATGAAAAGTTCAAATTAATACATAGCAATAAAAGTGCCGATCACATTGGATACACAGTCCTAACCATGATATAATTTGTATTTTTTATAATTTGAGATAAAATCGTCTTTAGGTACATAATGTATTAGCTTCTGAATATTAAGTTGAACATAAAAATTTTAATTTGAAATATTTAGTTTAAAACAATGAGCATTTTAAAAAACGAGTATCATTTTCAAAATGGTACCGAAAAACAAAGGCATATGTTTTGACAGCAGAATTATGATAAGGTCTGTTTAGGTCGCAATTTCGATAGCTTACGAACCACCATAAGCAGAATTATGATAAGGTCCGTTTAGGTCACAATTTAGATAGCTTACGAACGACCATCCACCTTTATAAACAATGTCACAGGATTTACCCCAAGTGTCATTGTTTTAATCTTTCGTTGAAAATATTATGTAATACCTGTTATGGTCACTTAGGCTAACCCCTTCAAAAAATCATGTTCTTTCGCATTCTTTGTTTGTAATTTTTAATAAAACAGAATTAATGTATTTTTTACCTATTATCGACGAATTTGTCATACCTTATTCTAATTTTATTTTAGTATTATTATTATTATTTGTATTTTGGTTAATAGTATTTTCATTCATAGGAAAAAATAAAATGTGGATAAGGCAGGAAATTAAACATTTTATATAATAAGAGAGAAGTCAAGTACATGTATGCTAAAAATTGAAAAATTTGACAACATTCGAAATTTGGTTAAAAAGAAGTTGAAGAAAATAGTACTAGATAATTCTAAAGGCAAAACTATGGAAAAAGTATCCAAATTCACAGAAAACTCCAAACTATATTAATTTGTACAGTAAAATAAAACACAATCTTAATATGGAAGAATATCTTATGCTTGAAAATAGTTTCAAGAATAGACAATTACTAAGTTTCGAACAAGTGACCACTGCCTACTGATTGAAACTGGTAGACATAAGAAAATACCTCGACAACAAAGATTATGCACTTCATGTAATGCTATTGATGATGAATTTCATTTCTTTTTACAATGTAATTTGAAGTATACAAGCAAGGAATATAAAAATCATGTTAGATAATTGTTCCTCATTCTATCTCAAATCACCCATACAGAAACTTGAATATATACTTAGCCCAACTATTGAAGTTATACCGGCTGTTTCCACTTTTATAAAACAATCATTAGAATTAAGAAATAAAAGGTCCACATCAGTGTAACATATAAGGAGTAAATTACTTAAATTGCGCCTATTGTATAAATACATTCATTGTTCTTTGTTGTTTTTTCTTATTATGAATTGTTTTGCTTGACCCATATGGGTGTATTATGCAATAAAGAATTATTATTAATATAATATTACCTGAAGTATCATTGTACCCGTTCACTGACACCTTGCATGTTGGGATTTGTTTTCGACAGAAAAAAATGAATACTTGGCAACCCAAAGTTTGAATGAAAACATGATTTTAAAGTTAAAACATTGCATTGAGTGTCGATTTACAAGCTTTTAATGATGAAATCGATAACATTTCATTAAAATATCCTTATATTTAGACTTTATGTAAGACATTTACTTGTAAACATATATAAATATACCCAAGTATCTGGCCGGTGTAAAGTTAGATTTCAAGGAATTGGAGGTATCAAAACATTCGGACCATTTATAGAAAGCAAAGATGTCCCTTAGGCAATGTATGTATATGAAATATATGGAATTCTGTTGTAAACTATGGAACTGAAAAACCTTCCATAGTCTTCCCATCTTGAATCTCCCCATAAATTCCCTCTTTACCGAGATGCGTGTGAATCGTACCTGTGTTAATGAATTAAATGATTTCCAATAATCAAAAATCATAATCCCTATAGTACACATTCTTGTTAATTTTGTTTTCGACTTTTAGCTTCAATTTGCAGTCAGTCGTCAAAGTCCTAACCTCAGACATCACTCACTGACCGAATCGGTAGGAACTGCCACCTTTCAACGACACTGTTATGCATGTTTTTATATCATACCATTTTTTTTTTTCTAAAACACACTTATTCAACTTTTAATTGTCTTGTTGTATATACTTTTATATTTAAATTTGCTGTGTTTTTCTACAAAGCCAACTGTGCAATTAATTTGAAAGCCATTTTGTGTATACTCACTCGTAGAAATATACACGCAGAAACTCGTGCTAAAGTGATGTCACACTGAGCCTATATAGACGTTAATAAAAGATGACGATATAAGGTAGCGAGAAATTCAAACATTGAGTGTATTATTGGTGCTTTCAAACTTGTAAAGTGTAAATATAAGAAATGTTTTTAAGTTTAGTTTGAATTATTGGTGTGTAAATCACACAGACTTGCACGTAGGCATATTTTTCATGAAGCGCTATGCCTACGTGACAAGTCTGTGTGATTTACAAACCAATAACTCACACAAAACTTAAAAACATTCCTTAAAACAGCAATCGATGCAAAAAAATTTACAAATAATATAAATCTGTAAACAGGGCTAAGACCAAGGTTCACTTTGGATTTTTTTACCCTGTGAATTTCTGAAAAACCAAAATTGCTCAGTTTTACTTTAAAATGCATTAAATTTCACTTGGACACTTGGCAACATCTTTATAAAATGACGAAATTTTCTCGCTAGTCCATGTATTATGATACCATGAATTGCCTTATTATCCTTAAGTGCTAAAAAGTTAAAAACCTTTTAGCCTAACTTCTGATCCAAAACGCAAGATGATTATAGTCCATGTTTTATTTTAGGGATCGAAGGTTGGACTGATATTTTATTTCTTGCCTGAAGGCACTCAAATACATCCATTTTCTTTAAATTCAGGAACAATTTCACAAAGCCTGTTTTTGATACATATCACTTTTTTTTTATACATATTGACTCTCAGCAGAAACTTTTTATAGGAAAATAAAGTACCAATTCTTTACTTTTTAATTATATATTTTAAATGGGACATTGGGTTTTCTTACATAATTATACAGAGCAAGAGTTAATTTCCCGAATTCACAAGTGTCACGAAGGATTTAAAGCTGAACACGACTAGAAAATAGGCATACGCAATATTAGTTTTATTAGCTCCGATATCACCACTGGAGTAAACCCTCCGGATTCGTTACACCTGACTGCTTTCTTGTCACGGGTACGGACGACAAGTGTTCGCGCTGGTTATCTTACAATATTTTAATTTTGTTTGTATTCTAGCCTCTGATGGTTAATATCCAAAAAGGAACACAAATTATTTCTGTATAACCTGGTTTGGTATGGGGACACACCCCCTGACAACCAGCTGAATCATTTGTATCCATACAATCCTCCCATTTCGAGTCCTCGGGATTCATGGAAAATAAATAAATGTACCTTTAACTTTAAAAAATAATTCGATCTTACCACATGTAAACAAACAATAAGGCTGCTAGGCCTATGTATCAGTTTTTACTTCCCCTCGCTTCCCATCACCTCCGTTACTACGGTGGTATTACTGAGCGGCAAATTTGAACTAATAAAAAGCAACGAAATTTTACACCCGTAGTTATTTAATGATTTTAAAATTAAATTATAAGGAATGACTCTAATTCTTGGCCATATTATTCGAGTATAACCTGGTTTGGGTCCGCGAAGCGGATTATAAAGCGTAAACTGACCCAAACCAGGTTATACTCGAATAGTCTGGCCAAGAATTATATATATATATATATATATATATATATATATATATATATATATATATATTAGATTAAATTCTAAAATTGAAACTACATGTAACAGCTTTTCTTTGCCAACTTTTAAATTGATTTCTGATACAGTTATAAATAGAAGAAATGTTTATAGCAGCTGTTAACTTTGATTTAGTAGGTTCACGTTGTCAATATTGATTTGACTTTTTTTTTGTTAAGTTCTTAAATCATCCATTAGATTATACATAATTATAATAAATACAGCAATAATAATAGTGCTAGTCAGTTAATCATAAAAATGTCATGAAAAAATAATTAAAACTTAAAGCAATAACTGTTAAAAGAAGTGTTGGAACATTTTGTATTGCTTCAATATATGACAAAAATGAATTTCAACTATAGTCCGAAACCAGTATTAGTATTTTCTCGATTCGCAATTCAACTAAAAATAAAAACAACACTACCTCAACGTAAATTTTAATATTTTAATTGCATAGATTTGAATTTAACTTATACACCCCTTCTCTCTCTCTCTCGCGAAAACACACCCTCACACACAGACACACACACACACACACAAGAAGATATTTTTAAACTATGCTTGGGACTGGCTCAGAACTAAAGGCGTTTTAGCAGTCTCCAGATATACTTTTCGCTGTACAAACTGTATTCCTTGCACAGTTCTGAGAATTCCGAAGTTTTCAACCTGATTCAAGAACCGAACCACATATTATCCTCACGTGGACTGTATCTTTCTTATTTAAATGTGATAATAACGTTTTTGTCTTTTTACAACAGCATCTCTAGCTGTATATTGTGATGTTTTTTCATGTTTTGAATGTAATCCGTGAATTTTTCTTCAGAGCAGGAAGCAAGAGTAAGATCAGCGATGTCTGTTTCTGGCAAATGTCCTTTATACACCTCTGTAAGTGAACTAGTGGAATATCTCTCAAGCACATAAAATATTACCCCTTTAATATAATCACATTTGTCTGTAACCACCATCCATTTTGCTTTTTTATTAATATTTTCCTTTGAAATCGCCTCTTTTATGAATAGGACAATTTTATACCACATTTTCATCCAGCAAAGAGCAAAGGTAACAATTTCATTTGGATATTTGCCAGTACTAAACTCAGGCCATATAAAACAAGGAACTTCGAACAAGTAACCCCATGTGTTCATATCTCTCGCAAAGAAGCAAGGCATATCAAAATGAAACAAGCAGTTAGCAAGGTAGTTCAGAACTTCAATTATGCACTTTGCGTCAAATCTTGAATGTGTGCATTTGTTTGTCCCGTAGACATGGAATAAAAAAGCCGTTTTAAGAACATATGATGACAAATTCATGCATTTTCCTGGAAAATTAATCTCCCCAATCATCAAAGATTTCAAAATTTTGTAGCATTCTTTGTGATGTGTGTCCATATTTTTCATTAATTCCAGTTCTAGTGCTGAGAAAGTAATAAACCAACAAGTTGGCTGTGGAAAATGTTCGATATGGCAGGATTTCGTGATGATGTGACAGCCATGTGTGAGAAGCAATTCTTTGAATTGTGAAGGAAAAGAAGGCTGAGAGGCTATGGTTTCTGGAGATGGGTGTTTTATAGCCATCATCATGTCCACTCCAATGGTTACATCATTCAAAGGAACTAGGCCAGCCTCTGTAGACTCCGATTGCGACATTAAAGGCTTTTCGGTATATTTAAACAGTAATTTTTGTTTTTCATTAACTTTTGAGCACAACTTTCCATCTGAATTTTCTCTACAAAATAGATCCGATTTGGATACAGATGAAATATTACTCCAAAAATCGGCCACAAGTATTTGTGGATTCCCTAAATAGTTTCCATACGTTTCCCTGTTCATGTGGCAATTACACATATATCTCTGGCCAAAGTGAATACCCCTTTTTAGTTGAAGCCTTGTATACCAAGGATTACACCCGTTATGCAGTATTAATTTGTCGGCTTCAGATAGTCCCTTTAAAATGACCATGAAGTCAAACTCGTCCGCTCTTCCAATTTTTGTCCCTTCATAAAAGCTTCCTGAGGGAATGATTTGCGAAATTTGGAAAATTGGCTTTGCTTCTCCGACCAGTTTACATGTTTTAGCGACAAAATCCCTCACACCTGATTCTATGAATTTCATAGTATTGTCTTCTTCTTGTAGCTTACATCTGGACTTGTACAGATGTTTAAGAAAGGCACGTTGCATAGCGTCGTTTTGATCTAAAGGTATGAGTTAAATGTAATGAATATAAAAAAGAAAGCCAATTATTTGGTGTGAATATGAACAGGACACTGGGTAAAGGTTTTTTTTTTTTTTTTTAAAAAAAAGTCAGTATAAATCATTAGGCTAATGTGACACAAAAGTGTTCATTCATTCATTTTTCCATCGTCAGAAGTGAAGATGTTTCGATAATTATTCTGTTTTTGAATTATAACACACACACACACACACAAACTCTCTCTCTCTCTCTCTCTCTCTCTCTCTCTCTCTCTCTCTCTCTCGCACATACATATGTACATACACACACAAATCTTAAATCTACATGTATGAAAAAGCTTCAGGCCATCACTGTTTAACTCAACAAAGAAGCGAGTACATACCCATTACTCTAAAACGTGAGAGGAAGTCACACCCTATTTTTTTTTTTTTTTTTTTTTTTTACACTTTTATACTACCTCTTTCATTTTGGTTCTGTATGGCGGCCCACATTTGTCACTTGAAAAGCCAAGGATAAAGTTGTATTTTCATCTTTCAATATATTTTACAGAGTTAGCTTGTAGTTGCTAATGAAGCTAAATTATATTTATTTCTTTCTATATTTTTATAAAAATGTGCATAATCGGGCTTCCTCTCAGCCATGACTCATTATTGGATGTCAGAAAGTGACAATGGTATCGCTGCTTCTTTGGACAGCTGTTGGATATAAATAAGTAATATTCGAATTTTCAGTCATTTTAAGTGTACATTTTGCCACTTAAATCATCACTCAACGAACACTGCACTGTGATTCAAGTGCTATTATTTAATATGATAAAAAAAGAACACGTACTTGACTGGATAATACCCAGTATATCGCCGGCTAGAACGCTACATTCGGAGTGGCGATCAGGCGTGACATGGCGGCCCTGGGACCCGTTTTACAAAAGAACTTACGACTAAGACCAAAAATTAATTCTGCTAATAACTTTTTAATTTACATTAAATAGAAAACGGTGTTAATATTTTTAAAAGATGTGTAGAAAGACACTTTTACGCTAGTAATTTTAAACAGAATAATTAATTTTGCAAAATTTTACAATCAACTGAAGTTTTTGATCTTAGTCGTAAGTTCTTTTGTAATACGGTCCCCTGGAGCGGAGAAAAGACCCACAAGGTTAGTAAACATAAAAGAACGAGGGCGCTTTGGATTGGCATTCGGCAGGAATCTGTATGAAAGTGGGTATCCTTAGAAAAGTGAATTTCTTTGTGCTTTCTAAATTAATATTTCTTCACTTAGGACAGTTATATTAGTTTAAGAGTTGTGCTTTATAGTTAAAATCAATTCATTACAATGTGTATCGGTAAAGATCCTCTGATAAAACTAATATCCAAATAACTGTATCTTACTCCCATTCGCAATGACCGTTTAGTGTAGGACAGCGCCGCGAGAATTCTATCGGCAGCGGAAGCAAAGTTTTTGACTTGCATAGATGGCCGAGCGGTCTAGCGTGCTGTTCCTGTACTGCTAGGAGACATTGGTCATCAGCAAAATTACCTTGTTAAAGTCACTTAGAATTCTACACACAAGTTGATATTAAAAGGATGCTGGAGTTCCTCGTTGACAACATTTATGTAGTGTTCAAAATCAAGTCTCCCAAAAAAAAAAACTTTTGGAATTTTGATGGGCACTAATTGTGCGCCTTTATTAGCAGACTGTTTTTATATTCCTATCAAGCAGATTAATATTCAAAAACTTCACATCTATTCATATGTCGACCCGATATATCCAAGTGAACTTGAATTAAAAGACACAACAGAGTCTGTCACATCTGTTTCATATTTTGATGTTTTACAATTTTTAATCTTAGGCAGTCTAATCACAGATAAGTTGATGTCTCAAAGATTTCAACAACCTCATTAAAATTCAGTATTCATAAATTTATGGCTGTTGTAATGACCTTGTTAGCAAAATAACCTATCATTGGGTCGTATTTTGGCAGACTAATTTCATACAAATTATTAGGCCTATGTTTTACACTAAATTTGACTACGGGATGTTCCGTCTTCTTGATAAATATTATACATAGGGCTCACAGTTGGTGTGACATGTAAACGGGGATGCTTACTCCTCCTAGGCACCTGATTTCACCTCTTGTATTTCCGAGGGTCGGTGTTTTTGCCCTATTCACAGATATGCATTCTTTGTCGATTTTTTGAGTTTTTGTTTTTTTTTAATGTCTTTTTGAAATCAAATAGCTTTAAAAGCTAGAATTTTGATTTCTTTATGAATATTTGGTCTATGGTAATAGCTCTGCTTTTATTTTCAAAGACTAAATCTTTATGAAACAAATTAGTCATTGTCTCCGACATTACGATTTTTCATACACCAGGGAGGTGGTAAAGTGTTAAGTTGACGTCCAAAATTTATCAAGTTGATTTTTAAGAGAAATTTACTGGAAATATACCTTTTTGAAATATATATCTTTTTATATATTTTTCTACATTCCTACATTTAAATCATTTTTTAACAAGGATTGACCGATTTTAGAGGAGATTATTTTTAAAGTAGTCCATAAATTTGTAAAATTGTACCGTTTCAATCATACCTTACTTCTCCAAAGGATATAATACATTAAGGGGACTTTTATTCCTTCTTCTAAGTAAAATTCCATTCAAAGCTTAAGGTTGTCTCTACCTTTAACACTCCGCTAGCTAATTGTAAGTTTCTTAAAACTCTTTTGTGCAGCGATATCACTGTACGTTAAGCCTATAAACACTAACATTTTATGTTTACTTTATATCTACGAAACATATAAAATAAAAATATGTCATTATACCTTTATCATGATTTATATGTTTAAATGTGTCCCCATTCTGATGTATATTACTTTAATAACTATAATCAAAAGATATTATATATTTAAAACACGAAAAGTTATAAATAATGACAAGAAATGCAGTTTTTGCTATCAATGCTTTAATGATTCATCACAGAAACATAAGGCAGAAAACCTTTTTGCTTACATCATACACATTTTCAACTTTTTGGTCTGATCATCATCCTTGATTACTTTAAGGAACGATAATCATTGTCCAAATTTGTACCAAGCAACAGAGGCCCATGTTCTAACAGAAGAATTGTGATAAGGACCATTCAGGTTACTGGTTTGACAGTCTGCAAACCACCACCCTGATTTCCTTTCTACGGCTCAGGATTTCCCTCATATGTCGTTGTCTTGATCTTTTGTGGAAAATCTCCGCCCATTATGAGGTCTCAGACTATCTCCTTCAATAAACTTTACTTGTTATTTCACCATCCCCTGTATAACTGTGATAAAGTTTTATTTCCTTGTCTTGACCTCATTATTGTTTTTGCTTGATATTGTACCCTTTTACACAGCTTCAGTGGAATTTCCAACATTATATTGCAAATTTAAACAACATTTTTACTTTGTTTTTGGTACTAAAGAAAATTACTTACCTGCAGAACCAATGTAGTAGCCACTTATTCTCAACTTGTATTTCTTGGATTTGCTTTCCACAGAAAACGTTGAATACTTGGCGAATGCCTTTTTGCCTGAGAAATTTTGAAGGTCCACTCTTAGTTCTTGTTGTTCTCTCGTGGTGATTAAATGAATGGCTTCATCCATAAAAGGGACATGTTATGGAATAGAAAAGAGTCATAAACTAGTATATTTTGTACAGACGGAGGATATTAACGACAGTGTAAACCAATAATCAAACCTAAAAATATATTCAATAAAGTTTTAGTTTATTTCATGTCAAAAACATTTCAATATCTTTTGTATAGAAATTAGAATTGGTTTACTTAAAGTATGGTGACTTAAAGAGGAAGAAGGTATGACCAACATAATATTTTTTTTTTTACTGCACTCCACTCTATCGTCTTCAAAATAATTTTTATACATTCTCACACATGTCTGAATAGAATTCTTTGGGTTGCGCAAGGTATACATGTATACTTAAAGTCAACGTATATTTATAGACATATAAAATACACTTTTATCTGCAAATCTATATTGATTTCGGAAAATTATGATATTGGAGCGGGGTGGGTGGATGGTTATAATCTCATATTGAGAATTTTTCATTAGATATGGCCATTTCTTAACAATGTCTACTTGCACTCGTACATAAAATTTGTTATCCTTTATCTCCTGCTCTTAAGGTTTTCGAGATGATCTCTCTGTATTTTATCATAAATACCTTACCAATATTCTCCTTCAATTTTTCCAAATCCTTCTTTGTAGGACTTCCAAGGTCTGTAAAAAATCGACTGATTCATCAATCCTCTTTGAACAACATATTTACAGAAAACTAAACTGTAAAAAGGCTCAAAGCGAATGCAATTTCTTTGGTTAACATTTGTTTTGTTGCTGAAATACAATGTATGATAAAATTTAACTGCGAATTCAATGATGAAATAAAATTTTGAATACGAAATCTATTTAGAGAGTCATGCTCATAATAACACATGTACAGTGACAAATGATCTCAAAAAATTATACTGTCCATCCCCCGCCATCCGTTGTCATGTCACAGAAGGTCGAAGTCTTTGTCTTCATATCAGGATAAATCGAATAGACGCCATCTTTTCCCCTTGTACTTGGTATGAATTTCAGAATTGATGCACAGTCTCTCTGGTTTCGAATTCCTAGCTCTATTAATAAAAACAACATATTTCATAAGAAATTGCATTAAAAAAAATTTTATATAGACAATCCAAAAGCTTTCTACATTTGTTCTTGTGATGTTTGTGGAAATTATCTTTATATCGATCCAATCCGATTTGGTACACAAGTTAGAGACTGTTTGAAATATCTCAGCTGAAAGACATAAACATCAGTGTAAAATCAATAAAGGGATAGTCCTCTCTATTAAATAGAGACAAACAATCACATAAGAGGACAGTTTTTATATTTCGCAGGCACTAGCAGTTGTATATGTATCTAAAAACTTCCTAAAACACCCCTACTATATACCGGTATTAATTACTGAATAATTTGGCAAATATTATAAGTACGTATACTAACTCTGATACTTGTTGAAGTGTCTCCCTGTAAGTCTGTAGTGAGACAGAAGAGAAATGTCCACAGAGACTGGAATGTCCACTTTGACTGATGTGTTCAGGTGTTTCCAGTTCCAGGGATTTAAATTCAGTAGAGATTCAACATTTCCTGAAATAATTATCATCAGTAAATAAATGGTATCTCGATATTTAACGAATGCAATTTATTGCATAGCTGTTGATTTTGAATAATGCGAGAAGTGAGGAATTTTGACAATTTTTAATGGTAATAAGGGTTTCACAATACAGGTCCAATGTACCTACCTTTGAATTGGGAATACGGAGCAATACAAACAATGGCCGTATATTTATGAAAGAAACTAGTCGTATATATACGTTATTTTATTAAAATTCAATGTAACACGATATTTTTGTTTCGTGACAATGTATGTCGATAATTGCATGTCTCATATTTAAAGGCTGGTAAAATATATGACTGTCTAGCATGGGATATCACATGAAAAAAAAGCTGATAAGACTACATGTTAATACAAATAACCGACCATTTAATAGTGATTTTAAAAGTGTACTTCTTCCAATTTCAGTCGTGCAGTGGTAGAGCGTCTGCTCTAGAGTAAGGAGTTGATCCTTACGTCGCGAGTTCGAATCCCACTGTTGGACGTGGAGACTGGTCCTTCGGATGAGACTGTATAATCCGAGATCCCGTGTCGCAGTAGGTGCTGGCACGAAAAGATCCCTCACTGCTCAATGGCCCTTAGTGCCTAGCATAGGTCAAAATTTGTAGCTCTCCACCGGCAAGTAATGGCGTCTCCATATGAGTGAAAAATTCTCGAGAGGGACGTTAAACAACAATCAAACAAACAAAAACCTTCCAGTTTCAAATCTTATATTATGATAGGTCCTTAGTAAGTGATACTAAACATATTATATAATTTGTTCTTTACATGTATTTCTCGTTCTCAAACATTTTAAAATATATTTTATCCATTTTTAAAGTCAAATAAGACTTAGTGGAAAGTTCTTTTAAACAGCTATTATACGCTTCAAAGAAATCCATATTTCAATTATTAGTTTCTCTTTATCATCAAGTCTCATTTAAGCTTCATAGGCAAGTAATTGGGGAATCATTTAACCAGTTTCTCCATTTATGCATGTGTAGGGAAAGAAAGCTTACCTGTATTGTTGTCTGTATGTTTCTTAACAAAATGTGTCCTTGTTGATCTTACTAAAAACAAAGCATATTTCCTACGTATGGATTCCGATCTTTTTCGTGCCCTGTCCTAGACTTAAGATATTTGAGTGTGGATTCTATACGTTTGTTGACTACTTTTCAAAATCCAGTAATTTTTTTTTTTTTGATAATTCCAGTTTAAAAGGAATACATTGGCTGACAAGTAATAATGATTTCTACAAAACACAAAAATGTCCGAATCTACATGTATATCGAGACAATTAAAAGTGTACGAAGATATTCCTTGCGTGTAAGGATCACATCTTAGTCACACTGATTTATAGCAGTTTAACATTACTCACTGCTACAGTTTTAATCTTGTGATGTATGTATATATGAAAGTAAGGCATACATAAACAAAGAAGAATAAAGTGCAAAGAAAGAATTAAATCTGCACTATTCGATTCAAATTTAATTATGCTCTAAACAAGCTGAGCCTATAAAATGTATATAACTGTACATACACTCTACCTAGATACTTAAAGTTTTCTCAAAACTTGCACTCGAACAAACGATTTAGTTTCTGAAATACCTTTATTCTCTCAAAAGGATGAAAGAATTCTAATAAATGGTGTTTATTTGATTTAACTTGATTTTCATAATTGTTATCTTTTCAGTTTTTATTAATTAAGTAAATAAAATATCAAATATTTTTTAATAGTTTCTAGACAAACCACACGGTAAATTTAAAAACAACTGAAAACAAGATTGCAAGATTAGGCAAAAGAGGTAAAATATTGGGCAATGTAAATTTTAAAAAAGGTCAAATTTCAAATATTTTCGATTACATCTCGTTAGTCTATTTACAGTTGCCATCATCCACAAAAAAATATAAATTAAAAAAAATAATAAATAAATGGTTAAGTGATTTCAAGCGTTTACCACTTCATTTTGGAGTTAACAATAATTCTAGAAACATTATTGCGTACTTTTTTAAACGCATCAATCATTCTCGGTAAAACGCCAAAATATAGGGTATATAATATGAAAAATAATACTTTTAACCAGTCAATCAACCAACATAATTCTTTTAAAGGATATAAATTCTTTTAAAGGACATATCAGTGCATTTTAATGTAAAACGTAACGATCACGAACAGTGAAAAATCTCATAATTTGAAGAAAGAATAATTCACAAATCTGGTATCCTTATCTTTTTACAACGATTTTGATATACCCAGGCTCATTACGGAAGATTATGCTTCAAAGACTTATCGCATGATCTTTCAAAAACCGTAATTTTATGAAAAATATTATCTATAGCCTTATTTATTAAAATACTGAATACAATAAACGTTGTTGAAAGCATATTTTAAGAGATATTGAGAGTGGAAATTCACATACGGCTATATGCATATTTCAGTCGGATTTCGGCGAAATACTGCTCTGACGTCATAGGCGAAAATTCGGTGATAGAGAGATGAGAATATGCACACTATTAACGGAGTTATCAATGACAAATGCAGCTAAAAATGCCGAAAAATTAATTCCTTATATGATTTTCAATTACTATAGAACCATTAATTAATTCTAAGGTATAAAGTTTTTAAGATATTTTCGTTTTTTTAGTCAAAACATTTAGAACTTGTAGCTCTACCATTACGGCAATGTCTCGTGATCGGGAAATTATTTTTCAAGATCACTATCCTTTAAAAAAACATACGAAGACTTGCATAAATTAATATTATATACAAAACAAAGAATAACAAAGTTATATAATGTTTAATTTGTGAATCAAATAAGTAAATAGCTAATATTAAGCGCCCTTTGTTTTTGAAATTTGACCTTTGACCCCGCGCATGCGCACACTGCGTAGGGCAGACCTACAACAGAGAAGCGAAGCGAATCACAGCGTGAAGTAATCGGATTATGTAAACAAATTTAGCCATGAGTTTATATTACAAGTCGTTGCCGGGGGCGCCTCAACAACACTACAAGGAAAAACTTTCCAAACTTGGGATCAAAAAACTGTCATTTGATCCGTTCATTGACGAATGTGAAAATTGGGTTGACGATGTTACAAAATGGCCGGACGTTCAGTTTGGGGAAATTTACTGTTATCTTATAGACAGCCCAGGACAGTTTACACGTGAGACTTTAAAAGCATACAGATCATTGGAAGCCTATAATTACTTTCATAGTGGCTGGGTGCATACAGTGTTTTATTCTACTCTGGGCAGTAATAAGTCCTTCCTCAAGGCGAAAGTCAACAGATCACAAGCTGTGACCGACAAGCCACACGAAGCATGGGTGTGTGTGGAGAAAGACTGCACCATTCTAAATGCCCACTGCACATGTATGGCCGGGTAAGAATGTTTTTATTGTTAGAGCCTAGGGAATTAAGCACATGTTAATAAGTGAACGATTTTAGCTGGTGAGCAGGGCATTGATACCTAATGTGTGATTCTCAAAACTGACTTTTCCATGTTTTTATTTCGAGGCACAAATTCACCCTGAAAATATCAGATTTTAAATTTACACACATATCATTATTATTTACACCTTGTTGAAGAAAAGATAGATTCAAATTAAATACAAGGAACTGCTTCTGTACAGGATTTGAGCTGCAGTCAGAATGTAAACAGATCACCATAGACTGTCAAAATGCCTCAAATGAAAACAGACTTAAGTCAAATTAGAATTCATTTTAAATGAGAAAAATATTTTCATCATGTGTTTTTTACTGAATATTATTCATAAATTAGCTACTAATGTATAGCGTGTGTGTTAAACGAAAGATTCATTTTCTTGATTTGGTTTTGTTTACATAATATACATGTATAGATCTATAGACCCACATGTGGTTTACAAGTCTTATCAAGAATATTTTTTTTAGATTGGGAGAGGTATGTTCCCATGTTGCTGCCATCCTTTTCAAAGTCGAGGCAAGTGTACGATTGGGATACAATAAAGTTGCCTGCACTTCAATGCCATGTACATGGAACCAAAACTTTACCAAAAAGGTACCTTAAACAAGAAGTTGTAAAATGAGTTTAGCATTTCGAATTATTATTAGAACAAAATTTTGTTTTAATCATGGATACTGGTTTGAATATTTTACAAATTTGCTAGATAAGTAAAAAGAATAGTAGGTATTTTTTCTGTTTACCAGTATATTATCAGATATATGTATATTAAATAATAATGAAACTCTTATATAAATAAAAAGAAAACTACTATTAGTAAGAACATTATAAAAATTTCAGTTGATACATTTTTTGTAAATTTTTAGGTGGAGGCTGTCCCACTGTATGAGATAAGCTTTGAGAAACCAAAGAAAACCAACTTTCACCTTCCATCCTCTCCAGCACCACAACGTGCAGGCATTGCATTTGAAAACACAGCCTCATTTCTGCAGAAGTTGAGAGAGACCAACCCAACAGCTGTGATCTTTACTGTGACTGAACCCCGTCCAAATCCCCCTACACCAAAACCATCCCTGCCAGTTGTACTTACATCTCTCTACAACCCAGAGTATACCAAACTCTCAGATACAGAACTAGCTACCAAGTGTGATGACATTCTCCAAAACATTACCATCAACCAAGAGGAGTCCATCAACGTTGAGGAACTAACCCGAAATCAGAGCTTGTCTACAAAGTGGTATAAATACCGGGAAGGCCGCCTCACAGCATCAAACTTTTATGACATTTGCCACACTAATGTACAGAGACCGAGTGTTTCTTTGATAAAAAGAATCATGCAGTATTTTCCAAACATTGACACTCCAGCAATTAAGTGGGGGAAATCAAATGAGGAAACGGCACTAAAAGAATATACAGAATTGATGCTACAACACAACGAAGCATTCTCGACAAGACAGAGTGGCCTAGTACTCAACCCTGATTATCCCACACTTGGAGCCAGTCCAGATGCTGTGACAGACTGTCCATGTTATGGGAAAGGACTGGTTGAAATTAAATGCCCATTCAAATACAAGAACACTCATCCTTGTTCTGTTAAAGACCCAGGGTTCTACCTTAAACCGCATGCTCCAAGAGCTACAGGAAAGCAGTGCAACAACCAACTTGCCATAACCTCGAAACATTTTTATCAAGTTCAAGGGCAAATGGCAGTGTGCAACGTAGACTTTTGTGATTTTGTTTGTTGGACCACAAGTGGAATTCATGTTGAGCGTATTAAGCGAGATGAACATTTCTTTAGTGAGAATGTGCTTCCATTGTTAAAGGATTTCTTTTTGTTTGCTGTCTTACCTGAACTATTAACTCGCAAAATCAGAGAAGTGAACAACAATGTGCCTCAAGACAATACCGTTTGTATCTGTGGAAAGCCAGAGACTTTCGATGATATGATTGCATGTGATTCAGGACATTGTAAAGTGGAATGGTACCATTTCAAGTGTGTGGGACTTAAATCTACCCCACAGGGTTTGTGGAGTTGCCTACCTTGCAGAAAGATGCCCCCAACCAAGAAAAACAGACAGTGACCAAACTTTACTTAATGAACATGAACATGAACATTCAATATGATGATAACTTGTTCAGTTCTTATGAAGTTGTGACAATGCTTTTGTTTCCATTATCCACCAAACTTTACTCATGAACATTCAATATGATGATATATTGATATGTCATTTTTTTTGCTAAAAGTTGTGACAATGCTTTTGTTTCCATTGTTATCTTGTTTACTATGCTACCATAAAACTTGCATTAAAGAACTTTAAAAAAACATAGATTTTAATTTATTTCTTGTTCATGATATAATTCTTGTTAAAAAAAAAAAAGAAGAAGAGGAAATCCAATCTGTTCAAGTGATTTTTTGAATTATACTCTTACATTTTCATTAAAATCAGGGGTCCATTTTAAAAAAGAACTAACGACTAAGACCAAAATTTAATTCTGCTTATTACTTTCTAATTTAAATTGATGTGACAATGGTTTTAATCTTTTAAAAATGAATTTAACATGATATTTTTATGCTAGAAATTTTAAAGAGAATCATTGATTTTGCAAAATTTTACAATTAACGAAAGTTTTTGGTCTTAGTCCTAAGTTCTTTTGTAAAACAGGCCCCAGATCCTTTGAACCAGTCCCATAGATTGCTAAAAAATGTTTCAGATCTAAAATTTTGACATGATTTTATTGATATTATTTTAATAGGTACATTCATTAAATTGGTGCAATCACAATACAACTTCAATGGAAATATATAACATAAAAACTTGCCATTGAATTTTACTGATATATCATGCTCAGATGGTTAGTTCATGGGGATCTAATACACCTGAAACAACCTTGACATTTTAAATGAATTTTACAGTACTTTTGACATTATAATCTCAAGATTCATAGACCTAGAAATAAATAAGTCACAATTCACAAAATGGCATCATTGGTGTTGACAATGGCAGCTACAACACGCACTATCTTGTCCCCGGCTGTAATGCGAGAGTCTGACTTCCTCTTGACTAGATTTATAGGTAATGGGCCTTTGATGATCTCGAAGTCCTTCATCCTCCCAATGACACGCTCAATGTGGATCCGAGCTCTCGACATCATGCGAGACTTCTCGACATCCTCCTTTGGTAGCTGGCTTTTCCCTTTAGTGTAAACAGGCACTATGAGCTGGGCTCCTTTAAGGGCAAAATCCTCTGTCATGTTAAAGCCTCTATCAGCTAGTACAACATCTCCTGGTAAGAGTTTGTCAAGAAGCCCGGATTCACATGTGATTTGTCTGTCACTTACTCGTCCTCCCCAACATGTAGACAGGAAAGTCACACAACCTGTAGGACTCACACCCACGAGAATCTTAATGGTGTTGTGCCTCTTGTAGTTAGAGTAGGTCTGTGCTCTTGCCTTTAAATTTCACGGCCTGTCAATAAATATCTCCGTACAATCAATCACACACTTGACCCTCCTGAATACTTCATTCTGAAAGATTTCGGGTAACTGACACACATCCGTTTCTGGCCAACGCACAAGACCTCCCAAAGTAGAATAAAGGGCATCTAACCATGCATGAAATATGTTGGTCACTGATGACTGGCTTATGTTGAACCGGTAGGCTAAGTCCGCCATGGCAAGGTTCCTTCGTAATTTAACAAGAGTCAGGAGAAGTTCATCCTCTTTTGGAAGTTTAGTTCTCTTTCTGTTCACTTTTGATGAGGTTTCATGGAACACTGCATTTAGGGTACTGAAGTTTGGAAATCCTGTATAAAACTTTGTTTTCCTGTCATCACACTTAATGTTCTTGAAACTTATGGTCTTTTTGTTTATCTCTTCCATTAACAGTCTATTCTCTTCCTCTTGGTGCTGAAGTTTGGCTTTCAGGGCTTTTAGCTCTTCTTCCTGTTCACAACAGATGTCTTGAAGTTTTTCCTGGTCTTGTTTCAGTTCCTTGATTGTCTTTGCATTATCGTCACACACACTTTTCAAATACTGGTTTGTAATTATGAGGCTTGTCATCACTGGAAGTGTTATATCAGTCTGCACTTCTGAATCACTCAGATGTACCACAGGTGTCTGTGTTGAGGTCCCCATCACACACACAGGAGGATCTTCCTTGCTCAGAGTAAGGAGGGCCTGGGCAGACTCATTCCTGGCTTTATTCTCCTTCCTCTCCACAAGCCTTTGGTGTCGCTGAACTTTCTCCTGGAGTACGCCCTCATGGATGGGTCGATGGCAAAATATGGAGGGCACATAATCTGGGTTTGTTGGCTCTCTGGAAGGCTGTCCTACAAATTATTTAAACACATGAAGTAAAAATAATAAAAAAGCTTTATCAGGACATAACTTACAATTTTAAAAAGATTTTTTTGGGCCTATGTCATGCACAAATATCTGAAATAACAATACTCGGCCTGGAAAGAATATTACAGAATTGAATAATCTGTTAATAGCATCGAAATACACAAGCCAGCATCGTTCTCTTATAAATTTACTCTTGTTGAACTAAATGGCACTTTTGTTCCTTTTCACAACTGGTCAGAAGTATCTCTCTTAAAGACTTCTGTAGTCGTTTAAGCAGTCATTTATGGGCGCAGTTACTTTTTATCAATGAATATTGTAATGGTTGAATAGTGAAGATAAATCTTACAAATTATAATTTTCTTTTTAATGTCATCGTATCTCACTTTACATACCGCTTATGAAATGCTTGGAGCAAATTCGGGAATGGTCGGAGGGCTCCCAATCTTCCCGCTTAATGGCCGAAACCCACTTAACTCTCAGGTGTTCATCCTTTGGTATACGAAAGAACTTCAAATTTACACCAGCCGTTTGTCTACTTTTACAACCAAATGCACAACAATGAGCCGGCATTGCACTGGGATTCAAGCATAAAACACCATCACTTGTTCAAAAATCACTGTCATGTACGTAAACAATCAATATGGCGGTTTTACAGGTAAACGCTATTGTTGAAAGGTAAGCGACCTTGCCCTACGCTGTAGTGCGCATGCCCACGCGCAAGGCATTATGGGATACTTTTTTAAAAATAGAAAGGGCGCCTAATAAGGTGAATACATGTGATAAGATGACAAATCAAATTGCATTGTTATGGCGAGTTTCTTCTTCTTCGCTGCGTCTTCCTCACTATCGTCGCTGCTATTTTTACAATGTTAACAGATTTTTCAGATTTAATTCAAACATATAAGGTTGAATATTCAATTTTATATCGATAAAATAAGTGATTTGGTTGTCCACAACGCAGAAAATTCAGGTTGTATCGCTTATATTTTAGTAAGATTAATGAAGAGCTGATCAGCCATTGTCGCCTTTGACGTCACAGGGTCACGTGAATGAAAGAAATTCAACCGTACATTTTTACCCATATTGTTTGAAATATGGCCTAACAGACCCCTGTAAGAAGATTCTGAAATTAGACAGCCGACCTGAGTTTGTGCATTATTTAAAAATAACCAATTGATCTATTGCAAACTTGTGTGAGGCTGTTTATAAAGTCAATCTTTTGTACTAAAATTTAGTTAAATATTTGATACCGGTATATTTGAGTAAAATATTATGTAAAATAGAACATATATAGCCCAGGAGTTGAAAATTTACATGTAAATATGGCAAACGTTAAAACCTCTTTAAAGAAAATGTATAATTCAATTTTTACAAAAAATCATCAGAATAATGGAATGGAACTCAGATTAAAATATGTCAAAATGAGGAAATTTGAATCGGCGGTTTCAGATATTTTGGCGATTTTAAATAAATCAAATAAAAAAATGTAAAGATTCAGTAGATGACGTCACTATATTTGACCTTTGACCTCTTACTATGACCTTAACCTTTATTGAAAAAAAAGAATGGAGACTCCTTATAAATATTTCCAAATATCAGGTGTCTTCTAAAAATGGATCAAAAATTACTTTCCATTTAATAACAGACAGTCATATGGCATGTTGATGGCATAAACGCGATCCAAAAATTACTTTCCATTTAATAACAGACAGTCATATGGCATGTTGATGGCATAAACACGATCCAAAAATGTAGGCTTCCGAATGATAAATATATAGGATTCTCTAATTTTTCTTCAAAATATGGTAAAAACATGTCACAGCTCATTATTTTTCTTACAAGGATCCTTGACTATTGAAATTATAGTGATTGAGCCTTTAAACCTCTCTCTCTCTCTCTCTCTCTCTCTCATATTACTAAAGGAATTGAAATAACATTGCAATAATCATTCAATTAACCGTTTGATCTCTTTTTGAAAAACTGTTATGATTATGTATTATGAGGGTTTATAAATGACAAATTATTAAATATCAATCTAATTTCTATGTATTTGTTCTATTGATTTTCGGTCTTGTTTGACATCTGTAGTTGAAGGTTAATTGTTTCTATTTGATGTTTAGAAAGGGCATTTTTGCACATAGTAGCAATATCTAATCCTTGACATTTCTTTCCTGTCTCACGATATCAATGTCATTTACTCATACATATTTTCAACTTTATGGTTAGATCTTAGGATTGTGTTCTTTGAATTTGTTATGCTTAGCTCTACCTAATTTCAGTATTGTAAATTAATGTCATACAGATCCCCCCTGTTCATGCAACTTTCTTATCCTTAAGTTAATTGGCTGGACAGTACGAAAGTGGGCGGAGTTGTCAAAGATTAGATGTGTGTGAGATTGTACGAAAATTCTTTGTTAAATTCAGTGTGTTCTAAATTGTATTTGTGAAATTAATATTTTTGGACTTACAATAAATTCATAACTTTAAAACCGTTTTTGTCATTTGGCTACGATATTACAAAACATGAAACTATTTTATAGATTATTTCAAGGTTATTGAATTGTAGTTTAAAAGTCGGAATTTGCCCCATTGAAAATTAGTATTTTGTTTAAAATCAAATTCACGTATAAACAGGCAAAATAGATGTATTTTTGTCCTTCTCTTAATAATACTTGATACAAGTTCAAATTTTGGGTCTGATCATCATTTTTGCATACTTCAAGGAAGCGTTTTCGTTTCCAAAGTGCTCTCAGTGAACACTCCGATCTGTTTTGGTTGGAGATTTGAGATATGGTCCGTTCAGGTCACAGTAATCACATTCTCCAAACCACCATGCAGCTTTTCTATCAATAGCAAATGCATTCTTTCAAGAATCGTTGTCTGAATCCTTCGTAGAGAATGGTCTCCCATTATGATAGGCTAAGCTATTTCCTAAAATAAAATCAATTTATATCGTTCTTTACATGTTTTGCTCTTGTTGCAATTTCAATAAGTATTAATAATTACTTTTATATCCTTCTTCCTCTTACCTCAGTATGTTAAGATATTTGTTTCTTGTGCAATTTTACATCATATGAATAGTGCATGTTTTTTAGGGTAACAGTTGAAATTGACACCACAAGGAAAACCATTGTTTTCAGCTTCTGTTTTTCTCAGTACGAAAACTTCGAAAAAAGGTCGTCGAATCTCTTTTTGAAGCTTTCTTATTGAAAAAAACAGAAGCGGAAAGTTTGAAAGCTGTTCAAAACGTAAACTTTTTTTTACTGACATCATTTGTCCAATAAGATATAAGTATAATAAAAAAAAGAATGCATTAATAAATAAGTATTGTTTGTTTGATACTCAGATTGTTTTCAATCAACCTCTATATCGGACGTAAGCTTTGATTAACGTCAAAATTTCGGCTTCTTTTAAACGCACGACTGAAGTTTTGAGAGATCTAAGGCGAACCGTATGCGCATAATTTACACGCTTGTGACATAATAGTTGTGTTACCCATTGTCAAGTATGTTGCTAATACTTAAGGTAACATTACGAATTGTTAAATGCGTCTAAACGAATTTAGTATTTAACATGAAAATGCAATAATGAAAAAGAATGTTTGCTTACATGTATGTTAATGTGCAACAGCAGACGTCAATCTTTTAAGAAATTCATTGTTTAATTTCTAGTATAAAAGACTTTTGTCATTTTATCCTTACAGGTAGTTTACGTGGGTAGGTTTCAACAAATGTTTTCTTTAAGAAATGATCCAAGAGCTTAAATTCAGTAAACATGGAAATTTTCCTTCTCGGTGTATGAGTTATGGTGGCTAAAAATCGGAATAAACGAAAAAATGATTTATGAATGTGAAGAAAAAGCCTGACAAACTTTCTAGAACAGACAGACAGACTACCGAATGACTGCCGAAAAGATAGTTATTTATTTATTTTTTTAGGCTACATTTTGTGGAGATTTCTATATAATTTACATAACAGGTAACTTTTTTTATTTCCTACCTAACCAGTTATCTCTTTCCACTTTCCCAAAAATGTCTATGTAAGATTTCCAAATCTATAAAAATCTACTAATCTGTCCATTTTCTGTTGAATGAGCTATATTGTATATTTTGTTAATATTTATCTTCATGGAGGAAAGGCAAATATTTCATACACATACTTTCTTTTTTTTTCATAATTACAGGTTTGTTGACAAAAATCCTGTTTAAATGTGATCTGTTTAGTAATTTATCCATCTTAAAGTAGCATAATTTTTCTGCTTTTCTTTGTATGTTATTTCATATATAGATATACATTCCTTTATTTAACAGTAAGTTCCACAATAAATCACGCACACAAACATACATCAATTATTAAACGATTCCCTTCGTGTCAAGTGGGTGATTTTCTCATCATAATGTACATGAAGCAACAAATTCATGTTCAAAACCTTTTTTATAAAATTTCCGAGAAAAGATTAAAGGTAATCATGTAATCATATATTTTAAAAAAAACTTTTTTCAGACATAAATCTGTATGATTTCAAATTTCGACATGTTTTAACGTCACTGCAAACATCTGTCTCAAATTATTTTACTGAAAATGTTAAATTGGGTCGAAGTTTTGGAATGAAATTCTTTGCCAATACATATCATTTACATAGACAACTTCTTGACATAGATCTTAAAATGAAATGAAGTGTTCTAAACGTTTGGGGTCAATAAATTCCATTCTTAATACGCGCTGTGTGGTGTGAAATAATGGATGTGAATGGATAAAATAAAATTATGGAATGTAATGGGATAACTTGGTATTTTTTTACGCAAGACAGATATACACGTATAACTACACAGTCAACTAAGAGACACAATCAATGAAATTCATTGATTTACATGTTTCTGCTGGTGGTTATCAGACTGAGTGTTACCTACATATTTACAATAAAAAAATTTTCGGAGAATATTTAACAAAATGAAATATTAATAAATACATCTACCATAAATCTATTTTGTAAATTTAGTTACAAAATAAAAACAAAACTCAGAAATTTCTTACTATCCATCCACCTCCGTCAGTCGTCATGTCACAGTACACAAATTTCTTTGTCTTCATATCCGGATAAATGGTGTAGACACCATTTTTTCCTTTTGCGTTGGGTGTGAATTTTAAATCTGATGCACAATCTCTTTGCTTTTGAAGTTCTGTTTTGAAGATTACATATTACATGCATAGTTATATTTTAATTCTATATTAAAACATATTGATTCTAAAAATATATTAATACTAAATGAGATTAAAATCCTTTTAGTAATGCATCAAAGTAAATTTTCATGGAGGATATGTATTAACAGTTCTCTAAAAAATTACAACAATTTTCACGATAGAAGCTTATCTGAGCCTTTTTGCTATTGGAAATTTGCACTAACTCTGATACTTGTTGAAGTGTCTCCCTGTAAGTCTGTAGTGAGACAGAAGAGAAATGTCCACAGAGACTGGAGTGTCCACTTTGACGGATGTGTTCAGGTGTTTCCAGTTCCAGGGAGTCAACAGAAGTAGAGACTCAACATTTCTTGATATAAATATCACACAAAA